GGTGGTAGCAGGCGGGAAGAAGGCAGAATCATCAAAAAAGGCGGGCGGAGTCGTCGTCGCTGCTCCGTCTGCTGCCGCGGATGCGGTTCCCGTTCCCAGCGGGGGGGGGGGGGGGACGGAAACCGAAGCAGATGATCGTGAAGTCAGTCGATTAAGATGGACATACGATTTTCGTTCGAATACCATGCGGAACTTTGTTGGGTAGGGAAGTTTAGCTGCCATACAGCTTGAACGACTCAGTCAGAAACGTCAAGGGAACCATGGGAGGACTTTGCTCAACCGGCGGTGATTGGAACTGCCGGTACACCGTCTAGAACCGTCTGCCATGCCTTTTGTACACGGGTGTAAATCTGCAGCGTTGTTCGTTTTACTCGATGCTTTTTCTGTTTTTTGGCGAGATGGAGAGGAGACCGTTTAGTGAAATCACTTCGACGCGGTGCTGCACGACCACGCTCAGAGCACGTCGATCGGCGTGATACGGCTGAAGGATCGATCCCGCATGCAGTGACGGCATTGCAGCAGTGCCTGGTAGTCTGGCGTCCGCTCCCGCCCCTCTCTCTTTCGTATCTCGATGCCTCGGTCTCAATACTGCTGTAGATGTGTGTTTTTTTTTGTTCTGAGCGCATCTGTGGCGCTCATGCCGGTGCTGCTGAACATGTTTTTTTTAATCCTGTTTTTGTGATTGTTGTGTCGTTCCTCGCCGCTCCTTGAAATCGAACCAGGTGTTCCTGGGCATCACGAGCGAGCTAGACTCGACGCTGGCGGCGGCCGCGGCCATCCGCGGCGGCGGAGAGGGGGGGAGAGTGGTGGAGGAGGCCACGGAGCCCATCGAGGGCATGAAGCCGGGGACGTCGGGTCTGCGCAAGAAGGTAGGGTTTTTCGTTCCCTGTGCTTGTAGCTTCCTGCGTTGTTGAAAAACGTGGGTGGGTGATTACTGTAGAGAACTCCACTTCGCGAACGATAGGTTTCGTGAATCACAGGCGAAAGGTTTTGGTTGTCGAAGCTCGCTCTGCAGGCGTTCGGGGGTCATGATTTCCTCGAAATGTTTCCTGTTCCTTTCGTTGGGAGAGGGAGGCTAAACTTGCGTGTGCACTTCGTGTTCAGCTCAACGATAGACAACGGTGTCATTCCATAATGGGCGGACGGTTCGATGAACAACTCTGCTGTTGGTGCAGCAGAGCAAAAGTCACAGTAGGGCGCGCATTGAGAATCGAGCGTCGGTTGCATGGCGTGGACGGCTCAACCCAGGCGGTGCGAGTTGCCTACCTGGGCTGTTGCCACCACCAGCCGGAGCACAGGTACTTATCAAGGCGCCCCCGATGAAGACTGGCAGCAACCTTTGCACCCAAACACGAACGACACGTGCGTGTGTTCTTCGTATGCGGCGCTTGTCGACGTTCTTATGCTACCACTGCCGGACAAAAGTCGACAACCCACATGCGCTGGCGCAACACCAGCTCCTAGTAGATCGTCCTCTTATACGGCTCCTGAGCCATTGCAGTTCACCCACGAGGTACCCAGCAGCTCTCGCTTAGGGAGAGTGGCGACACGAAGAAGGGGGAGGGGGGAGGGGGGAGGGCATTTTTACGGCCCGGAACCCCCTTCGATTTTGTCTGGACGGCAAAGACGGTCCCGCCCGCTGACGGTGCCCAGCTTGCGTGCGTACCGTCAGAGCACCTCTGGCACGTACAGCGGTAGGACAGGGACAGAAAACGCGGCCAATCGGGTGGGTTTCCTTGGGCCCCTCGGTGGGTCTTGTCCTTGGGCATTTTGTGTCGTCTCGATCGATCGGTCGGTCGGAGAACGAGCGACGCGGCCGCACGCTTTTCGGTCGGTCGCGTCCACCATGATGTTGGTCGCCCGCCGGCCTCGGCATGTCCGGTTCAGTCCTTCCGGTCCCTTTGGCTTGAAAAAGGAGGCTGTTGTAGCTAGGCTGAGCCAAGGAAGGCCGGTCGGGCAGGTTCGAGAGGTGCGGTACCGTTCGTTCGGCCATGCGGTAGGGTCGGGTCGGCCGGGCGATACATGTTTGCTCGGTCACATTCAGGCCAGGCCTCCACGGCGGTGGTGGCTTCTTTCGGCGCGCGGTCAGTTTCGTTCCTTGCGGTCATCCGGTCAATCGACCGGTCCCTTCCGTGGTCCCCCCACAAGCGAACCTACGACCCCGCCCCCCCCGGGTCGAAAGCGCAAGACAAGAAAGTTGGAGAGAGAGAGAGAGAGAAAGGAGATAAGGGCCGTTGTGCGTGCGCACGCGGGCAGCTGCTGACCCCTGTCCCCGTTCCGCCGCTTCCGCCCCCTACCCCTACCCCTCTCTCTCTCTCTTCTTGCTCCGTCGCCGTCGCCACTGTTCTCTTGTCTCCCGCCCTTCCTCCCTCCATGTGGTCCGGGGGGCGTTACGTCCGTGTGGCGCGCTTCCTCTACAGGACTAGGATCAGGACAAAGTTTGCCGTGCTACTGTTCTCCTTCGGTAGACGCTCAAAAGGGCGTTCAACCCTCGTCTACCGCCATTTGCCATCCTTACGATATGAAAAGCCGTCGCGGAGAGGGGGCCGGCGGGGGGGAGGGCTGGGATTGGGGGAGGGGTTAGGCAGCAGGTAGATGGGCAGGCGAGACAAACTCAAGAAAGTGGTATTATATATACGATTCTGGGACGTACGTGAGTCCTGCGCTCGCAGAGGGGTTCACCAGGCGGCAACTTGAGAGTTGTGTGTGCTTTTTTTTTTTTGTACTGGTTCGAATTTCGTGGGAAACGGCATGGCCGGTGCCGTCTCATGATAAATTTTATTTCTAGTTTCCTCGTGTGTGTGTGTACGGCAATTCTAAACACTGAGCGGCGAGGGGGGCGCTTGCCATGGCATGCATGGGATAGGCGACCCGCCGCTGCTGGTGTTCACCTCGTTTTGTGATGGCTGGTTTGATATCTTCGTGTTGTGCCTTACACGAAGAACTAGTAGAGACGGTTACCGAAATTTTAGACTCTTGTACACAGTTTTTCCGTAGAGAGATTAGGGGTGTACACAAGCAGTGCAGCAGTAGTTGAGCTCCGAAGCTCTGTTAGTATTTTGGTATTTTGTTTTTCTCTGGTGCTTCTAGATAATGTGCGCTGCTGCTTTTCTCGATCTCCGAAGGCCATTGGGCATGGCTTTTGCTCCTGATGTGCCATTCTAATCCAGATCCCCAACGGGGAACCACTTCCGTTACGGCACTCGTAAAACCGACGGGGTTCTTCGTTCTTTGGATGACGGAAAAACACAGAACACACGGATATGCACGTCACAGAGATGAGAGACCCATCCATATTTGATCAATACTCTTCTGAAAAAATCTTGTGGTATATGGTTGTCTGGCTGGTTGCGTTGCGCACCGAACTCTCGAACGGATTGGCTCGCTGATCAGGGTCCCGTGTTGCTGCTAAGTCGTCACCCTATCAGGGCACACACTCGAGCGCTCTCTGTCTCTTTCTCCTGTCTCTCTCTCTCCTCGCTCTCTCTCTCTCTCTCTCTCTCTGTCTCTCTCTCTCTCTCTCTCTCTCTCTCTCCCTCTCTCTCTCTCTCTCTCTGTGTCTCTCTCTCAACAGCACGGCATGCCACCTAAACTTCTCTTCCTAGTATGCATTCACCATTTTGCCGATTTCGGGTCCCTCTCTCTTCTCTTGGTGCTTAGTTGGGGGCTCCGGAGCGAGAACCTGTGCGACTCACGCACACGTCGCAGACAATTACGGTCGTTTCGGCTCGACGTATCTGGCCGGAATACCCAGCCATTAAGGCTTCCGCGGGTCGTCAGTGGTAAAGTCACACCATGCGTTCCTATATTTCCTTCCAAGCATCACTAGCGCTACCAGTAGAAACGAAGAATGATTGTTTTTTTCTAGCTGAGATATCTTGGCACGTCACTGCGACTCCCCCGCGGCTCTCAGACACGCAATAGACGATGGGGTATTTTTCTGTGCCGCGTCTGGAGGCGCCCTACCTATTTAATTCCAAGGTCGGCAAACCAAGAGACCCCTGGAAAATTCCATGTTGATGGTCAAGCCATCAGGCAAGGAAGTGACATGAGGGAGAGAGTGACAACGCCTTGTTGCGTCTACATGCCCAGTTGATGGTGCAAGCAAACGCGCACACAGTGCACCCTCACACAAGGGATTACCAACGGAGCCCTGTGCCTTCGTCTTTCCCCCTCCTGCGTTCCGATCAGCATACGTACCCGTGCATCAACGTCCGGGGTACGCCACGGGGGAGCCGAACGGGGATAAACGCTGGGTTCACACTCGCTTAAATTTCCTTTTCACGGCCTTAGCCCCCCGACTTTACGTAGTCCACCCTCCCTCTCCCTCACGCCCTCCCTCCACCACTGCCCGCCTGTTGGGACCTTGTTTCTCTTCTCTTCTCATCTTCGTCCACCACGCGTACGGTATGGGGTGGTCTTTCTCGCGTCCGTCTGGTCCGTCACATTAGTTGGACGACCGTAGGAGGGTATCTATCATCTGGCATTCTTCGAGATATATATGTGGGCGTGCTGAAGCCCTTACACAACAAGGGGTTTTCAGAGTCTGTTGCGACCAAATAATAAAGAAACGCACTAAACGATTTTCTGGGGCGCGCTGGGGTTGTGAGGAAAAAACAGAAGCAGGGCTACACGTGAGGTCGGAGGCTGCCTACCCTTTGGGTTGTTCAGAGTTGGTCGGGTAATTGACACGCGCACACCGGGCAACCCGCAACCACCACCTGACTCAGTGTGCGTGCAAGACGGCGAATGCTGCAGTCGTGCCCAAGAGGTACAGTAGACTGGTCTGGTGCGCGGATGAAGAACCAAAGCCGTAAACCCGTACCCACGCTTAAGTTCCTGTGATGACTTACAAAATACCCAAAGTGACGAGGAACAAGCGGGATCGAACTTCGTCCGTCTGTATGACTCGCCCTCCTCCTCCTCCTCCTCGTCTTGGCTCGGGCGGCTGGAGAGTGGCGCTCTTGGTGATCGCGGCAGTCGTGCCTTTTTTTTTCATTTTCTTTTTGTTCGCACACGAGGAGAAGGAGGGCGAGGGGAAAAAAACAGGCGCGAAAAAGGCAGGGGCGTTCGTCTCTGTGGACCACCGCGCCATGCCATGCATGCCCTCATCATTATTTTGTGTTTTTGGCAGCGTGTGAAACCTCCATCCGCCCGCCCTCTTTCGTGCTCCGGTTTTTGCTTGTACTTTATGGCATCTGCGTGCGTGCGGCAAAGTACCTCAGCTGCTGCTGCTACAATCACTGCTATGTTACCATACGCGTCTGCACCTGTAATTTTACTTCCTTGGTTGAATCGAGGGAGACGTTAGCCCGTCCCGGGGGGCATGCACCCATCTGCTGTACTAGACAGTGCTCTTACTGGTAATAGACCATCTTGTCAATTTTATTTTCTTGGAATCGAACAGCCGCGTACCGTTGTCCCACACTCACGCCACGTGGCTCGTCAAGTCTCGCCTCGCTTTCGACGTGCTCATTTTTCAGTCAGGTGGAACCAGCGCCAGCGCCAGCGTGCCGTGTGATCGCTCGTTTTTTTCACGCACCTCATCTGCCTGCTGCCCGTCTGTCAATAGTTTGTCGGCTACTGACTTGCCGTCTCTTGTTTCGTTTCGTTTTGCTATTATATCGCTATTGTATTGCTATTGTATTGCTATTATAGGTGGCGGTGTGGAAAGAAGGGTGCTACCTCAACAACTTCGTCCAGGGAGTGCTGGACACCTTCCCGCAGGAGGAGCTCAAGGGCAGCACCATCATCGTCTCCGGAGATGGGAGGTACGAAACCGCAAGCATGCCCCAAACACACGCGTGCATGCGTACAGCAACTCTGTGCATTAGACGCAGGGAGAAAATCCGTGCATTGCCCCCAAGCACATGAACATGTACACGAATATAGCCAACTCCTTACATAAAAAGAGAAAGCAGATATTTGTACTCCATACTTGGAGTTTGTTTGCCGACTCCAGCGCTGTTGTCGCATTTCTAAGTGGTTCGACAAAACTAAGTGGTGCGACAACGTGCAGAATACCACCCCCTCGCTCCCGCGCGCTCGTGCGCTTTTTCCTTCTCCTCCCACAGATTCTACAACCCGCCCGCCATCCAAACCATCATTCGAATGGCAGCCGCGAACGGAGTGGGTCGGGTGTGGGTCGGCAAGGGGGGGCTAATGTCCACGCCGGCTGTATCGGCGGTGCTCCGGGAGAGGGAGGGCGGCGCTGCCTACGCGGGACTCGTGCTTACCGCTAGGTGGGAAAATGAAATATATGTAGCAAGGATAGTAGCTTAACAGCGGTATCTCAGCGGTTACCAACAGCAGGGCGTGTTTTTCCCCTGAGTCTGCTTGGGGTGTAAGGGCACGTGTTTTTTTGCGCTCTTCTATCGAGCTGACTCCTGAACTCCCCCCCGTCCTCCCATCCACGCTTGCGTTCGCATCTTGGCAATGTTGGGTCGAGTGTGCCCGTCCGCTCATCGTCACACGATGAATGCTGTAGTCGTCACACCATGTATCCTATACACCTTGTCATCGACCGTTGGTTTAAAGGGTTTTCCCACAATATTTGGTCTAGGATGTTTAGTTCATTTTATTTCTCGTCGTTCGGTGTAGTGCGATTGTTCGTTCTGGTTGATTGCTGAAATGTTAATGTTTGTTTGCTTGGCGCCGGAGCGTGCTGGCGAAGGTCAACCGCACATTTGTTAGTCACTCTCGATTGTCGGCGCCGTACAAATTTATGCTGTACAAGCCGAGCTCTCGACTTACCACAATCGATTTTTCTTCCAAAGCGGTCTAACCCGTACCAGCGAACGCCGACACGCAAGATACGCAACTACGATAGGGGGGTAAAAATGTCATGAACAAGACGAACAGTACCGCCTGTTCCCGATCGAAACAGCCTCCCTGGTCGCCGGCACCAGCACCACCATCATCACCGTTGTCCCCCCCCCGCTCACTGGAAGGACTGTAAGGAATGATTGGCCATCGGCCGTCTGTGCTGTGGGAACAACGCTCCGCCTATTCGAGGACGCGTGGTCAATGCTCAAACCACCAAGACATGCAGAGCATAAGAGTACGCCCCCCCCCCCCCCCCCCTGGTTACCTTCCCATTACGCCCCCTCCCCCC